TTTACATAACGTACAGTTAACAATGACGTATATCCACCATCTCTCTCTAGTTTCAGATCTTTCTTGTCACCTCAGGAAAAAACTCAATTTTTCCTTCTCCTAACTCCTTATAACTACTAATCTGCTTTCTGTCTATATGGATTTACGTATTTGGGATATATCATATAGAAGGAATCATGTGACTTTTTGTGCCTGAATTCTTTACTTAGCATAATGACTTTTGAGTTTCATCCAAGTTGTAGAATGTATTAGTCCTTTCTTCTTATGGCTGTATAATAATTCTACTGTGTATACATGTGCCACAATTTGTTTATCCATTCATCCATTGATAGACATTTTGGCTTATTTCCATTTGGCTTTTATGAATCATAAATAATGCTGCTATAAGCATTTGTGTACAAGGCTCTGTGTAGAAATATGTTTTCATTTCCTTTGGATATATGCCTAGGAGTAGAATAGTAGTTTCTCATTTCTTCCTTGTAATTTTCTTTTGATACATAGGATTTTTTTTTTTAACTTTCTCCATTTGATAATTCCAGTGTCTGAAATCCTTGGGAATATAAATGGTTTTTTTGTCTCTTCCTCACTGAAGTTTGGTTTCATTTGCATTTATTCTTCGATTGCAAGTTTATATTTGATCTTAATCTGTTGCAACCTTAAGGGCCTAAACTGGGGATTCTTTGCTTCAGAGAAAATTTCTTTTGCTTCTGCTAGTTGCCAAGGTGTATTACATAAATTTCGTTTGCTTCTGGTAGTTGCCAAGGTGTACCACACCTCCTTTCCTACATGTGTATTTCTGGAATGGATCAGACCCTTGCCAGCCTAATGTGGCAGGCTCTGGTTCAGCACCCCAGGTTTGTGGCTAGCCCAAGCCTTTCTAATCCATCTCAGGATTGAAAGTGGCCCTCTAAGTAACCCAGTTTTTCACATTTGCTTGCTGCATACTTTTGTACATTCACTTTTTTTTTTTCCTTTTTCTTTTTGAGACAGGATCTTTCTGTGTTGCCCAGACTAGAGCTCAGTGGCTGTTCACAGGGGCCATCATATCACATTGTACCTTTGAACTCCTGGCCTCAAGTGGTCCTCCTGCCTCAGCTTTCTGAGTAGCTGGGACTTCAGGTGCTCACCACCACACCTGGCTTTAGTTAACTTTTTTGTTTGAGATTGCTAGACACCCAAGAAATACGAATGATGCGTTAAACTGCTTTATCTAGGAACTAGTTATTTTGTGGTAGGAGGGCAGGCCATTTTGACTTGTTCACTGAGTAGAAGAGGTCTTTGTAGATCTTCCAAAGTTTCTTTCGGGTAAAACATGTGCATTAGCAATCTGACAAGTTTTCTTGAGGAAGTTTGGATTGAGAATACTTTTAAAGGCCAGTACATTTGTAAAATGCAATGATTAAGAACAACCATTGTTCTTTTCTTGGACATTCATTGTATAAGTCTTAGATTTTTATTGTTGTTAACTATCCTCTGGTTATAAGCAGAGGATAAGATCTAAATAATTCATGCCATAAATTTCATAGTTAGGGTTTCACTTTATATTGGAGTGAAATAAAAGAGCGAATATTCCAGGCAGGGTGTCTCACACTTGTAATCCCAGCACTTTGGGAGGCCAAGGTGGGAGGATCACTTGAATCCAGGAGTTTGAGACTAGCCTGGACAACATGGTAAGAACTTGTGTATTCAACAGAATTAAAAAATGGTCAGGTGCAGTGACTCACGCCTATAATCCCAGCATTTTGGGAGACCAAGATGGGAGGATCACAAGATCAGGAGAGCAAGACCATCCTGGCTAACACGGTGAAACCCCATCTCTACTAAAAATGCAAAAAATTATCTGGGCGTGATGGCACGTACTTGAGTTCTGAGTTCCAGCTACTCAGGAGGCTGAGGCAGGAGAATTGCTTGAACCAGGGAGGCGGAGGTTGCAGTGAGCCAAGATAGTGCCACTGCACTCCAGCCTGGGTAATAGAGCAAGACTCTGTCTCAAAAAATAAAATAAGAAATTGAAAAAAAAAAAAATATATATATATATAGCTGGGTTTGTGGTGACATTCACCCATGCATCCTCCGACTTTGTGAGGCTGAGGTGGGAAGACTGCTTGAGTCTGGGAGGTTGGGGCTGTAGTGAGTTATGATCATGCCACTGTACTCCAGCCTGCACAATGGAGCAAGACCCTTTGTCAAAAAAAAAAAAAAAAAAAAACCTTTTTAAAAAAAAAAAAAAAAAAAAAAAGTTTGAACAAAAATGGCCTTGTTTAGACTTTACTAATGAGATGTAAATTTTGAGAAATAATAGTTATTATTTATGGACTGCTTATATGTGCTAGCACAGTGGTAAATGTTTACATGTTTAATTCTTTTTTTTTTTTTTTTTTTTTTTTTTTTTTTTTTTTTGAGACGGAGTTTCACTCTTGTTACCCAGGCTGGAGTGCAATGGCGCGATCTCAGCTCACCGCAACCTCCGCCTCCTGGGTTCAGGCAATTCTCCTGCCTCAGCCTCCTGCGTAGCTGGGATTACAGGCACGCGCCACCATGCCCAGCTGATATTTTGTATTTTTAGTAGAGACGGGGTTTCACCATGTTGACCAGGATGGTCTCGATCTCTTGACCTCGTGATCCACCCGCCTCGGCCTCCCAAAGTGCTGGGATTACAGGCTTGAGCCACCGCGCCCGGCTACATGTTTAATTCTTATGAGTACTCTGATGACGTAGGTGTCATCCACATTTTATACATGAAGGAAAAGGTATAGGAAGTCAAGTATACTTTTGTAAGGTCATAAAGTACATGATAGTACTACAATACAAACCTAGGCAGCCTGGCCTCAGAACTCATTCTTTGTCACTGTAGTGAGAAAGTTTAGAAGTAGCATGTTATGATAGATTTAAATGGATTATTCCAAATGGTTTTCTTAATTTTGAGAAAAGTGAAATACCACTTTACAGATTTTAGTAACTTATGCTAGATATTTTGTTGCGGTTTTCTAATTTCATTTATGTCCCATGCATAAGCCATTTTAGGGGAATATATTCCATATTAAAACATTCTTAAATTGAAATTTACCCTTTATAGCCAAAATGTATTTCATTGTACCATTTTTTTAACCACGTTAACATCTTTATTGAGTTGTATTTTATGCAACATAAAATTTACCCATTTCAAATGTACAACTTAATGCATTTTAGTAACTTAAGTGAGGGATTCAACTTTCACTGTAATTCAGGTTTAGAACATTTTTGTCCCCTCAGTAAAATCCCTCTTGCCAGTTCACAGGAGCTCCTCTTCCCACCATCAGTCCCAGGCAATCACTAATCTTTTTTTTTCTTTTCTGTGTTGGAGTCTCGCTGTTACCCAGGTTGGAAGGCAGTGGTGACACTCTGCTCACTGCAACCTCTGCCTCCCGGGTTCAAGCGATTCTTCTGCCTCAGCCTTCCAAGTAGTTGGGACTACAGGCGCCCACCACCATTCCTAGTTAAACTTTGTATTTTTAGTAGAGGCAGTGTTTCTCCATATTGGCCAGTCCGGTCTTGAACTCCTGACCTCAGGCAATCCACCCACCTTGGCCTCCCAAAATGCTGGGATTACAGGTGTGAGGCACCACACCTAGTCTCTATTTTTTACCTCTAAGAAGTTGCCTTTTTATGGACATTTTGTATAAATGGAATCATAAAATATGTGGTTTTTTTTTTGGTCTGGCTAGTTTCACTTAGCATAATGTTTTTGAGGCTCATCCACCACATAGTGTGTTTCATTGGTTTGTTCTCTTTTATTACCAAATAGTAATAATTCCGTTGTGTAGACAACATTTTATTTGTTCACATACTATTTTAAAAATATATATTTCTAGATTGCATGAGACATTTACCAACTTTGCTAAGTATGGTATAGTGGTGACTCAGCATTTTTAAAATGAATTAATCCACCAATAATGCTTTGTTGTAATATGGTAATGATTTCATTATTTGAAACTATGATGCTATCCAGGGACTATTGTTCCTTTACTAAATTAATCTAGATGGTTGAATTTGAGTTCTTGTTTCTGCATTTGATGATTTTTCTTTCTCTTTCCCTGTCTACCATTTGTTTTTTGCTTCTTTAAATGTACCTAGCTTTAGCAGCCTCCCTGCAACACTTTTTGAGATGGAGTTTCGCTCTTGTCACCCAGGCTGGAGCGTAATGGCGCGGTCTCAGCTCACTGTAACCTCCGCCCCCTGAGTTCAAGCGATTCTCCTGCCTCAGCGTTCCAAGTAGCTAGGATTGGAGGTACCCGCCACCAGTCCGGGATAACTTTTGTATTTTTAGTAGAGATGGGGTTTCACCATGTTGGCCAAGCTGGTCTCCAACTCCTGACCTGAGGTGATCTGCCCACCTCGGCCTCCCAAAATGCTGGGATTACAGGTGTGAATTACTGTGCCGGGCCCCTCCAATACTTCTATAGTAAAAAGATTTTGACTGAATTCTAAGCCTATATTGATTTTTCATCAATCTAGTAAGAAAATATGAACACTGTGACATTAATTTTTGGCCACTTGGATTCTCATATGTGGCTTTCCTGTTTTTTAAGCTGTTCCCCAGGCCCCTGTAGAAGAAGAAAGGCATTATGGGTTTTTCTATTTCTGGAATCGATTTTATCATTCTGCTGGTGATCAGCACTTTTTTATGAGGTATTTGGGATACAAAGGTGGTTAAAACATAAGGATTGAATTAGAGTTAGACATATTTCAAAAAAAGGCAGGAGTAGTACTGCATGAATAATATACCTTTAGTAATTAACATCCCTTATCCATAATTATAAGCATTTGCACAAAATTTGGTAGACTTTTTCTTTCAGTATGAACATCACATTTTCCTTTTAAAGTCATGCTGGAATTTAAGGTATAATAAGTTCCTTATTACAAAGATTTAATAAAAGGCTTTGCTTACTTGGCATGTTTAGAAAAAAACATGAAAACTACTCTCTGGAAACTCATTTTCTGTTTAAACTTTGATGTTAAAGGTGCTTCTCAGAATGATGATGGCTCCAGATCCAAGGATGAAACAAGGTAAGCATTCATTGATTGCTTCCACAGAATGCAGAAAGATAGAAGATTTCCTAAATATTCATTTTTTTGTAAACTTCAAGTTCATGCTGTAAGAATAAATGAGTGTCAGAAAGAATTCAGAACTCAAGGTAAGAGGGAAATATTTGTGAAAGATTGAAGATTTTTAGCTTATTGGATTACAGCTATCGGGAGTAGGCTAGGGATAACCACATTGTTGATACTTCTTCAGCTTGTAGAAAATAAATGTATTGGCACCTTTTCAGAGGGAGAGCATTCTAAATCCCAAAGCCATCACTGGCTGTTAAGTTTCTTTTCCAGGAAAGCTGAGATAGGAGCTTTACACATATGTGAAGGTCATTACTAGCTATTGTGTCATCTGGGCCTTCATTAGAAGGGGCAGAGCTTTATATCAGCTGTTTGCTATTAGCCTAGGTTTAGCACTTTCATGTGCCCATCTGCCTTCAAGATTGGACCTAAAATGTGTTGAAAGCCTTGGGCTATGTTAATTAACTTAGACTGCTTATTGGTTATCCTGGAAGCTGGTAATAGCAGATAAAATAAGAAAGGAGATGTTTCTGCTCTTAAAGCAAAAAGTGGCATGTCTTAACCACAGAGTGCAGTAATTATAAAATTCCATTTGATTCTTTGTTTTTCTCAAATTGCATAAGCAGTGAGTAGGAAGAAGATGATGAACCACAGGAAATATAGTCAGAAGGGGAGAAGAATGAGAAAAGTAATGTCACAGACTGTAGGGGGAAACTATCAACAAGGATGGGATATTACAGTGTCAGATGCTGCAGAGGAGGATAGATAAAGCGAGTAGAACAAAATACTGATGGTTATTGAAGTTGTGCTGGTAGGTACATAGCAGTTTATTGTACTAGTCTATCTGCATTTGTGATATATGAGTTTTGTTTTTGTTGTTGTTGTTTTAGACAGAGACTTGCTCTGTTACCCAGGTTGAAGTGCAGTGGCGCGATGTCAGCTCACTGCAACCTCTGTCTGCCGGTTTCAGGTGATTTTCCTGCCTCAAGCCCCCTGAGTAGCTGGGACTACAGGCACATACTACCATGCTTGGCTATTTCTATTTTTAGTAGAGATGGGAGTTTCACCATATTGGCCAGGCTGGTCTCGAACTCCTGACCTCAGGGGATCTGCCCAGCTCGGCCTCCCAGAGTGCTGGGATTACAGGCATGAACCATCACACCTGGCCAATATATGGAAGTTTTTTTTTTTTCTTGGAGACAGTCTTGCTCTGTCTCCCAGGCTGGAGTGCAGTGGCGTGGTCTCAGCTTACTGCACCCTCTGCCTTCCGGGTCAAGCAATTCTCTTGCCTTAACCTCTCGAGTAGCTGGGATTATAGGTGCCTGCCACTTCGCCCAGCTAATTTTTGTATTTTTAGAGTAGACATGGGGTTTTACCATGTTGGCCAGGCTGCTCTTGAACTCTTGACCTCATGATCCACCCGCCTCGGCCTCCCAAAGTGCTGAGATTACAGCTGTGAGCCACCATGCCTGGTGGAAGTTGTTTTTTTTTTTTTTTTGAGACGGAGTTTCGCTCTTGTTACCCAGGCTGGAGTGCAATGGCGCGATCTTGGCTCACCGCAACCTCCGCCTCCC